GAAGAAAGGTCTTTCCTGGTCTTGTCAGGAATGATGGGGGTTGGAGTCCAACAACATTTGGGGGGCCACAGGTTCCTCATCCCTGATCTAGCCATTGCATGTTTTATGACTGCACTTGGTATTGTCACACGTTATTTGGGAGTGGTAGCCGGTGCTAGCTCTACTCCAAGTTGGACCTGTTTAAGTTGATGTATATGACTAATTTAGGTTCAATAATTTCAGAGGACCTGAAGAACGCTGTCAAGGAAACACATTTTACATCTTTATTTTTTATTTAACAAAATTTATTATTGTAAATAGAACATCAAAGTAGTTTACAAAAAAAGCCACACACTGAAATCGTCAATAAAAGACAAATGTATTCTTAAAAAATCAGAATATAATTGAATACCAGCTCTTAAGCTAAACACAATTAAAACACATGCTAACTTCTACTTGTCTGGATAGGTTTGTCTGCACAATTTATTTTTTAGTAGACACCAAAAAGTGTGCAGCCAAGGTGCCTGTCTGATGTCAATGGGCAAAGTTTTCCAAAGTGTAGGTGCTGCCAAGCTAAAGAGAGAGAAAATCTTCCAAGTGTGGAACAAGTATTATGTGGCACTTGTAACAATGCCAGTTTCTCAGATTGAAGCAGTCAAGTGGGCATATATTGAGTGAATGTATAAGTAACTGAAAGTGAAAAATGTTCTGCTCTAGAATTGCTGTAGTAATTTTTCTGTTTCAGAAGTTAGTGATGGCCTGTAGAGTAGGTTATGTTTCTCATGATTTGCGGAACATTCTTTGCTTTTTACTGTAATCATCTCACTATTTAAGTGCAAAGCATGATTCAGTAGAACTGTACAGCTGCAATTTTAGAGCTTCTACCCTGATTTCAAATGCTGCTGGAATACAGTCATTCCAGCCTTTGCAAGTGTCGCTGAAGTAATTGCTCGGGAATATCAGAGTAAAAATGTGAGTTACTATGTGCTGTTTTAAGAGTAACTAATTTGAAAGTCTCCTAGGAGATTGGACCATTGCTGACTAAAAGAAATCCATAAATCCTGCTTGCTGGTAGACATTTGAAACCTGATAGCTTACACTGGCCCGAGCCACTTCTTGTTTTGTAAATTTAGATACTCTTTCTATCTGAACATACTTGATGCTTTTTTCAGGGTCAAGAACTTGAGGTTCCTGTTTTCTAAAAGGTTTCATTTTACATCTTGTCAAGTTGCCTTAAAAGATGAAAGGGCCAGTATTGTTTGCAGATACTTCTTGCTGAAAATTCAAATGATGCTTGCTGTTAGTAGGACTATGCAAAAACCCAGGCTGCCAAATCCTCAACATGGGGTAATAAGGTTACTGAGGATTAAGAGTCCTGTCATTTATAACCATTGATTATTGAACTTTTCCCAATATTTTCTTCTGATCTTTTATATCAACTCTACAAATACTTTGAGACATTATCTTACTCCAACGTATCCAATTCTTAGATAGTGCGAAATGCTTACTGCTTTGCTCACAGCAATTATCCCAGTCCAATCCCAGAATTTACATCCCTTAAGTTTGCAAAAGGCCATTTACAAGCAACTTCCCATTAAGCTCCACCAAATGATGTGAACTTGGAAACACCCTGTACAGAAGTACTCTCAGTTTCTAATGCAGAGATGACTGACCTGTGGCTCTTTAAATGTTATTGGATTCCAGCTCCCATCAGTTCCAGCCAGCATGGTTAAGTATGGTGGGAGGTGTTATCGAACAGCCTTTGGGGGACTACAGGTTCCTGCTCTATTGAGTTTGGTGTCTGCTACTCCATCCTGTCCACATTTGCAGGCAGTGATTCCGTCTGTGCCTTAGACAATCTTTTCTTTGAGTCAAGACTTTTCCCTGAAGTTGCAGGTGTGCCTTGGAGTAGTACAGATAATGTTTTGCTGGCAGTGTTTGTTCCAGACTAGGTGTAGAAAATAGTAGCAATGTTGTATCTATCTATCTATCTATCTATCTATCTATCTATCTATCTATCTATCATCTATCTATCTATCTCTATCTATACCCCGCCCATCTGGCTGGGTTTCCCCAGCCACTCTGGGCAGCACCCAACAGAATATTAAAGACACGATAAAAGATCAAACATTAAAAACTTCCCTAAACAGGGCTGCTTTCAGATGTCTTCTAGAAGTCAGATAGTTGTTTATTTCCTTGACATCTGATGGGAGGGCATTCCACAAGGTGGGCGCCACTGCCGAGAAGGCTCTCTGCCTGGTTTGTAGTTTATGGCAGGGTTGGGAAACTTGTGGCCATTAAGATGTTTTTGGACCACAACCTTCCTTTAGTTAGTGCACGCATGTCCAAAGTCCTTTTGGGGGGCCTACTAATCCAGCCCCCGTGGCAGTATATTTCAGTCCTAAAAAATAGCTCAACAACTCTGGTCGGCCCTCATGCATGTTCAGTTCATCAAATCTGGCCCTCTTTGAGAAAAGTTTGGGCCCCCCTGAGTTAGTGTGTGATAGTCCAGCAACATTTGGAGGACCAAAGCTTATCTACATCTGGCTTACAGACAAGACCAGTATGGAGCTTAAGGCCAATAAAAAGCTGCTGTTGGCAATGAAAAATGTTCTTCCAGGCATAGGGAGAAAAGTGATGCATATAAGACAACGGTGTGCATGTAGAGGAGAGAATTATGGGAGCTTGTGTAAAATATAGGGAGTGAAGACTACAAAGAGATGTCACTGTTTTGGCAGCAGCATGTGAAAAGGTTTGATACTTTCCATGTCTCCAAACTTGTAAGATAGGAACTAGGTAAACATAGTTAAAACTCCAGTGGCTCTTAGAACCTTATTTAGACTAGGAAAATCATTTACGGTAATATTTTTTCCTATTAAAGCCCAGTTTGGGGTGCACCAAAAACCTCCGTGTGAAATACTTGGGGTAAAGTATTGTCTTTGTAGATGCCGCATGTCCCTAAAGACAGTTGCAGTGCATAATTATACTCTTTGTCAGATTCAGTTGTGGACCCACGCTGTACCACCTTCTTATCTAATAATCACATTGAAAATAAAGGCCTACTGGGAGACTTTTTAATGTTTTGCAGCATCATTAAAAAGTAAGCTTATTTTATGCCCTCTCTGAAAACTTAAAACAAGTGTTGGTTAAAAAAAAAGTTGATTTGAAAGAAAATGTTTGGGAACAAAACCAATGTTTTGAAACAACAAGTCTGATGTTGCTTTCAACCTGCTGAAACAGTATTTCCTTATGCTCTTTATATTGAGCTTATTTTATTTATTTATTTATTTTAAAAAATTAAAAAATGTAGAAAGATAATCTAAACTTCCTATTTCTATGTCACAGAAAACACAAGCGCAGAGGCCCATTTTCACTGTGTTTTTTTAAGAAATAAAAAATGCAAATACCTTGTGAACCGGGCTGAGAACAGTGCTTAGACTCAGATATGTATATTAGCCTTCCTCTTGAGTTTGACGGCAGCTCATTTTGCAAGTTGAGTAAGTCTTGCCTACAGTACAAACATCATAACAATGAAACATTTTATGTTTCTTTAATTTCTCAGCGTCCCTAGAGACAAGCTGTAGGCTGTGCATCGACCACTGCCAATAAATAATATAGGCAAGCACTGGCAAGACAGAGGGGTGTGTGTGGGTGTGAGAAACATGACAGCTCTTTCAGGCTTTCAGTATGGGAATCTGAGTCTGCCTCTGTATACACTCCAGAGGGGGAAAGCTGAAAGATCTGAAAGAGAGTTGTTTGCTTTGTATACAGTTCCCCACCACCATCCCGCTTCACAGTGTTTGTGGACTCATCTTAAGACTATTTTAAAAGGATTATTTGGGTACATGTTTAAGATACTGTTTTATACATTCCTTGGAGTGCTTGCCTTACTTCCACAAGTTGTCTGTTTGCACAAGCAGGCTAGTGTGTCAGCATGGAACTTATAAACCTCAGTCTAGGAAGCATCTTCTTCCGTTATGCAAGTTGCAGTGCTTGAGGCTGATAGCGACTGGTTCCCATATAATGCTGGTCCCTTGAATAAATTGCCCTCATGAGTGAGGAAGGCGATTGGAAAGAACATGTGAAGTGGCCCATGAGGAAGGTCACTCCAATCACTTAAAAAGAAAGAAAGAGAAATTTCGCCAGGAGGTGAAAGAATCTCTAATTTGTCCATATTTTCTTTTTGTGTGAATGTGTGGTGAGAGAGAGAGTGAAAAACCACGTGGATGATTTCCTTTTTTCAACCGTATAATTTTCTTTGGCTGTATCAAGAGAGATGATGATGCAGACATGTCTAATGATGCGCCACAAAAGTCATGATTCTGGAATAGGATGTGTTGAGGGCCACAAATATGTGGTCCTAAAAGCAAGTTGAGCAGGCAGGTGGGGATGTGGTCAACAGAACTGCAAGAGGGATGTGAACAGTTAGATCCCAATCTTATTGAGCCCAATTTTTCCCAGCCTGTGTGCGGAGCCATTTCTGGTGCATGATAGCAGGTTGCAGTTCCCAAGTTGCTTCGTGACATTTTTTAGCATACTTGTAGAAACCACATATTTAACATGCTGATTCAGTTTGATATAGTTATGTTAATCTTATCTGAAGGTTTGGTGGGATAATAAGTTCAAAAGTAAAATATTTCCAAGCTGTTGCAAAATAAGAATTGTGCTGTGTGTTCACAAAACCACTTTACAATGCCATTTTAACCCCTTAAGGCTGTTGCATTACATGAGTAGGAATTGCTGGTATTGATTTCCTGTTGTTTCTTGTTGTTGTTTTTTTCCAGGTCAAGCAAATAAAGTGGCTAAGGAAGCAGCCAACAGATGGACTGGTGTGTCTGCATTTGCATTCCTTAGCAACATCCCTGTCCCTTCCTCGAGGAAAAATAAACTCAAGAGAAGAAGCAATCATTCATAAAACTTGCAATTTGTTAGCTCTTACCAGAGCTGCTATACAATTCATAAAATATTATTTAACTGGTAGTGTTTGCCATTGCTCAGGAAAATACTGCACATGAATGCTCCTTCTCATGAATGCATCATTATAAATTTATTTCATGTGTTCTTAACAGCTGGAGTCATTGCCACATATCATTATCATTTTTGTTCAGTTTCAAATCACTGTATATGTTAAGCAAACCCAGTCTGCAAATAACATGCACAGTAGGAAAATTTGTTCTTTGCATTTCATTTCTGCACAGCCTATAACGGGGGGCTTTCTTTCTCTGCAAACTAGCAAAGTGCTTGACTTTCAGCCAGTAAAAGACTGATGCAGGTGAGCCTGGAGGACACAATTGTGCCTTTTAAATTTGATTCCACAGCATATCTTAGATTACAGCAAGCTCTTCTTATTCGTTATCACCAGATATCCATGTTTATGGGGATCAGCGGTACCATATAAATGGAATTTTGCACTTCACAACTGCTTCACATGACACCTTGTTATCAGGTCTAAAGCAATTGATGGTTGTCTAGGATTCAGCTGCATCACTTCTTCACACTGATAAAGTCCAGTAGAAAATAAAACATGCACATTCCGCTCACTAAATTGATTGACCATGCATCACAGAAGGTGCAAAATATAACTAAATATGATGGATTGCCTTATCCCACATAAAATTCTCTTTTATGATTATCTTCCAAAGCCCTTCTCCAGCTGCCCCCTGCCTTCACCATCAGAAGTTAGGCAGGTGGCTCTTAGAAAATGGCCATTCCACTTTTTGGAATGTCCTTGCCAGGAAAGCTTAGCAGGCATCAACTCTTTGTTTATTTTCATAGACCTTTTAAAACCACCTTCAGAGCAGCAATGCTGAAGGGCAGGATAAAAATAACAAATCTCCTTTTTTGTTTGTTTTTTTGTAGAGCTGCTCTGTTACTCCTCTTTAAGTGTTTGCAAGCAATGCTGTTTTAAGAACTGGATATATGTTGACTGCTAATGCCCTGGTCCCCTTCCTTGTGATTTTCCAGTTCTGTTGCAAGATCTGATACCAGTTACCACTTGACAACTCCTATTGTGGAGAGTTTCCTCCGATCAGATGTCCTGTTGGAGGTTTGAGACTGGTGAAGAATCTCTATGGGTAACATAGAGATCATGGTAACCAGTGTTAGGTGTTGCAACAGAAAGGCAGAAAAATCATTTTGAGGAGGACCTTGGCATGGAGTGGTAATGTGTAGACTGGCCCTGCTGTTTCACACTGGCAGTGGGTCTTCTTTTAAAAAATAAAATAGAAATCCCTGATGATTGAAATTATGGAATGGAACTCTCCATTCTAAAAACTTTATTTCTTGAAAACAAAAACCATCTTATTTAATGTTTTTCCCCCACCCCTATTTTGTCCACAGATAATATCTTTGCAGCAAAATCTTGGGCCAAACGGAAGTTTGCATTTGAAGAGAGCAAAATTGACAAAACATTTGGCATTCCTGAAGACTTTGACTACATCAATTAGAAAGGTTTAGTAAGAATGGCAAGTAATTTAATATTGTTCAAGAGATTTTGTTTTCATTCCGAAGTTTCTTTTTCTTTTACCATTATTTGTATTTTGGTTAATAAAATCTGAAAATACATTGAAAATATATTTTTGCTTTCACGCTGTGACCCAGTAATTTTATCTCATAGAATCATAGAATTGCAGACTTGGAAGGGACCCCAAGGGTCAACTAGTCCAACCTCCTGCAATGCAAAATGGGAGCTAATTATAATCAAGTCTATTATTAAGGTAGATGCTATAATGTCCATTTTGCTAGCTGCATTATGTCAGAAAGTGTTGCGGCCTAGGCCAAAAACGTAGGTGAGAGAGAGAAACTGGAAACCGTGTTTTATGCTGGAAAATAAATAAGGCAGTGAAATAAATTACATCTGTAATTAAAAGTTTTGGGGGAAGATATGAATGGACAGCTATATTCATTTCATGCAGTGCACTAGATATGCACAAAGAATAGGCAATGCAGTTAATCTCTTGATGGTTTAGTCAGATTTCCTAAGCTATGGTCTAGGATCACTGAGCAATTTTGAAAAACCAGGTAGACCCAAATAAAAGGCATAATGAGGCTGTACATGATCCTGAAGATATTGTTAAAATTTGGGGTGGGGGAACCAGACCCCCTATAATCTCTACATTCAGTGAAGGGTTAGAATTTGAGCAAACTCATAAATTCATTAATTCAGCTGTGTTGTTGTAGAAACGAAAGGCTTAAAAAGGCCTTTGATAATGGTAAGTCATCAGGAAAACATCAGACTCTGCCCTTTTTGTTAAGGGCTTGAGAAAGAGCTTGCCAGGGTGACTGGGTGGGGGACAGTGCTGGAAGCAGAAGGGGAGTTGTTGTTTCCTCCCAAGTGCTGCTGGGAAGAAGAAGGAGGAAGTGGGGAGAAATCCATGGAGACTGAAGGGCATGAGCCATGCTGGTTGGCTGAAGCAAGCTGTTACAGAGAGACATGGGGGTGGCGCTTAGGATGCCTCTGAATCCAAGACTGCACAGCTGGGAAGGACAAGCCTCTTTAGATGTGGATGCTGTGAACTCTCTCTCCATAAACTTCAGGTGTATATATGTGCGAATAAACCACACTTCCTAAAGACACTGCAGAAACTGCTGTGCCTCATTTCCCCAAAGGAAACCCAAACCCTGATTGAGTGCTAAGACCACTTGGCAGAGATTCGGGTGGTTTTCCTGGGATAAGCAGAAGAGGCAGTAGATTAGTAAAATGCAGCAATCACAATTCGCTGACAGTAGTGCGAAATAACACAAGTGCTGGAAATTATCCTCACACCCACCATGACTGCAGTTTCAGTCATTGTAATATTGTGTTACTCGTTGATGGCCTTTCTACAAGACTTGAAACAAACAGTTGCTACACAGCTGTGGCATCTTCCTCAAGTTCCTGCTTCTCATTCGTTCATTCATTCACAATCCCACGGCAAACAGCACCACCTGCACTGAAGTCACCTGGCAGCTGCCTTTACCTGCACCTCATCTGGATCAGCCCCCCTGCATTTCTACCATTGATGCTACTTTGCTGCCAAAGCTGGCTGGGTTTCACATGCTAGATCTGTGGAAAGTGGTTCTGGTTGGACGTGTGCATACACAGCTCCCAGGCATCCGCCTGTGGACAGAGTGCTGATGTGTACGCACATTTCCCAATATTGTCCCCTCTTTGCAGCCCTAGGATATGAACCCAGTGGACTTTATGGTGGCAACAACAACAGGGCAAAATGGAGAATGGCCTGAATGAATGGGGAAGTCTGCCACCGCAAGGCAATCAGCCATCAGGGATCTCTCTTGTTAAAAAAAATTACAGTATTTTTTCTTAATGCACCTATCTTTGCATGCCTCGAAATGCAACGTTTTAGCTATTATTGAGAAAATGGCATCTAATCCTGAAAACCCTCAACAAGCCTCATCTCTCCCATTGACCATCTGCTGTGGCCTTGGACCAGTCAAATGTCTTTCAGTTTTAATCACCCAACTGTAACTTATCTGGCTCTGTTATTGTGAAAAATAAACAATTCAGATTCTTGATTTGCAGTGTGCTTTGTGAAATGATAAATACTAGTAATATATGTGCTTCCTTAAGAGCAAGAAGATGAAAGACATCCAAAACGTAAAGAAAACATAGTACAATATTAACTCCACTGAAACCTTAATAATTCAGTAATTCAAAATATGTGTTGTGACCACAAAAACAAAACCATTTTTTTCCTGGAAGCTATTTATTTTTTGTCTTCTTTCCCACAACTTAATGTTAACAATATGTTCTGTGCTTTTCAAAAAATCTAACTAGTCACCTGATTTTGATGCAGATGCTAACCCTACCCTGGCAGTTACAAAGAAGCTTGTTATCAATTTCGTATCTTGCTTGAAAACATAAAATTACAAAACCCAGCAAAATGGTCAAAGGGTCAAAGCTAGATGTGTCTTTAATTACATTAATCACATTAAACACTATAACTAAACTACAGCCTCACCACTTAGAAAAATAATCCGTAGAACAATACAGTTTTTAAGCTTGATACAGACACAGACCATAATCCTCCAGTTGGAGCCAGGCTAAAGGTACTATAAAATTCTGTGCAACAGAACTGTAGAAAGACTGGTAAAGCGAATATATGTTTCCTCTGTTGTGGCTTGGTTGAATTATCTTCAGTTTTTATCTTACTCATAGGCATTTTCCTGTTTGACTCTTGCAACTACAAATGTAGGGGGAGGGGAACTAGAGTATCTCCATAATAAGCCCTCCTGCTAAAATTTCATTGTTCAATCCTGCTTAACTATATTTTAAAAAAGAGAGAGAGAAAAGTGAAAGCAGCCCTAAACATGAAAGTCTACATGTCTTCCTCAAGTCCTTTGGACAACTTCTAAAGCTATAACTTGATTTCTTGTGTTTTCAAAGTCCTGTTAATTGTTCAGGTGTGGGAGTTTTTTACAAGCAGTTTATTTAACTCTTTTCATAGTTATCTTTCTTTGAGTTATGCACTGTCTTGTTCTTTTGTCAGTTTCATATGAATAAGTTGAACAGCTGCAGCAAAATTATCCTCAAGTCTGTTCGTTAAATAACAAAAGGTGAAGTGTAACCGCATAAGTGTCAAATTGATATCAGTGTCAAATTGATATTTACCTGAAGTTTGAATTTGAAAAGTAAACTAAGACGCATAGACATACAGAACATGATGTATCCAAAATGATGTGATCTGTTCTTGTGCAGGGTGTGTGTGTATGTGAGGTTTGCAGGGCTAATTGGGAGATACTTTTTTAATCCAAATATTAGTGCTTTTGCATCCCTAAATCAAGTCCTTGCACCGTTGTGGAATATTTAGGGAAGTTTTAAATGTTTGATGTTTTATTGTATTTTTAGTATTTTGTTGGAAGCTGCCCAAAGTGGCTGGGGAAACCCAGCCAGATGGGCGGTGTATATATTATTATTATTATTATTATTATTATTATTATTATTATTATTATATCACAGGGGAATCATTTCGCTTGTTAAAAAGTTCATACACAAAAATATATATTCACCTGTCCTATGTTTAGATACTGTTGATTCCACATGCAGGTTTTTCAGTAAATTTAAAATATTTTTTAAAACTGGTGGCTGTCGTTCATGATGATCCACTAACAATATTTACAACTGAATCCCATGTCCTGTGAACAGTATGTAGAAGCATAGTTATTATACTTCCAAATGGCTGCCATAAGTATCTATCTAGGGTAAGCACATATAGTTCACTACTAGTTGGTCATGCTAGAAAAGGAAGTATGGGTATTAAGATGAACTTGTAAAATCCACTTTTTCAGCTTCTTCGTGACAAAAACCAACAGGAAATATAAATGAGTGCCAGATGTGAGAAAAATGCAGCTTTTAGCTGCCCTCTGTTTGGAGCTCTCAGATGTTTTGCCTTTTGCTGCTTGTTTAACATCTGGTGGTGATGGTTGGATACAGATGGCCATGTACCAAATTATAACTCGACATGCGGTAAGCTGTTTGTCAGCCGTATCTTGCCAAAGGGATGGTGAGAAATCTACTGCATTTCCAGATATCTGCAGAAAATGAGAAATAGTGAATTTCTGCTGGCTTACCCGATGATTATAAAATTGCCACTTGGTAAATTATTGCCTGAATTCACACCATTTCTTATGTGCCTTCTTGGATAGATACTCTGTTTAATTATAATTTGAAGGATTAACTCCATGACCAGATTTAGCAACAGTTACCTGTTCACTTAACTGCTGAAACAAAGAACTCAGCCAGTTTATCTTCTCATGCAAAGCTGGCAGACTAACTTATGAGACCAGTGTTCCCTTAATGTTCTGTTTGTTACTATTGGGGCAGGGGGAGATTCTTATATTGGTGTCCATTCAACAAACTCTACATGTGTGAGTGGTTGTGATCAGATCCAGGCTTGTTAATTTGTCATCTTACAGGACAGATATAAATCATGCATGCAAATTGTGGTTCAGTGTGATGAAATGAGCTAGAGATGGGTGTGTGTGTGTTAAGATAGTCAAATAAAGTACAGATACCAAAGATGCTCCTTGTCTGGGATGCCATCAGTGGTCAAGGGCCATCTCTGAGTACCTCTCCCTGGCACTGCAAAGTGTTAAGGATCATAAAGGTAAAGGACCCCAGACAGTTAAGTCCAGTCAAAGGTGACTGGGGTTGCCGGCGCTCATCTCGCTTTCAGGCCAAGGGAGCCAGCGTTTGTCCACAGACAGCTTTCTGGGTCATGTGGCCAGCATGAGTAAACCACTTCCGGTGCAATGGAACACTGTGACGCACAGAAATGCCATTTACCTTCCCGTAGCAGCCGTACCTAGTTATCTACTTGCGCTGGCGTGCTTTTGAGCTGCTAGGTTGGCAGGAGCTGGGACAGAGCAATGGGAGCTCACTCCGTCGCGGGGATTCAAACTGCCGACCTTCTGATCGGCAAGCCCAAGAGGCTCAGTGGTTTAGACCACAGTGCCACACGCTCCCTAGTTAGGGATCGTAAACTAACTAGAGCCCTCTGGACCACGTTTGATTCAGTAGGTGTGGTTAGTGATAACTACCCCACATGTCTGCTGATAAAATAGGTTTCTGAAAGGATCATAAAGAGAAAGAAAAATACTATCTTGGCTTACCATGTCTGCTCATGTTTTTATACTTAGGTACAGTTCTTTCAGTGTCCCACCTGTCCCTGGAAAAACATAATATTTCTCCTGGGATATTGCGATGGCACTTTTCCATTTTCACAGCAGCAGACTTTTCAGCTGATATGGTCACAGAAACGGTTTCTGGGAAGCTGCAGGTGCATATGGATTCCAGGTAGCACATCATGTTATCCATAAAAAAAAATACATTCCTGATGCAAGAATGCTTCACAGATGAGCGTGGATGTGGAAAATCCTCAGATACTTTCACACCTGGTTCAGAGTTGGTCAAATCACTAGAATCAGATTCTTATTGACTTATAATAGGTTCTTCAGTTGATGGAGTTACAGAGGCAATAAGTTCAGAAACAGCTAATATGTTGCAAATACTGGTCTTTTAAAAATACATTTTGTCAAGTACTGTAAGCAGCACACGTCTTAATTATAAATTACTCCATTTATAAACATTAGTAGTAAATAAAAGTTATGTAAACTTCAAAACATGAGTGTTCTCACAAATTCTCTACATGCTGTTCTTAATGTGCCAACGTTAAGTTTGTATAAGTACAAACCAGATTTGTAAGTTTACTAGGATGACGTTTGCAATGTTTTAACAATTTGTTTTTTTACATGTGTTGTTGTTCATCTGAGGTTGTATTTACCTTATTTCAAGACCTGCTAAGGAACGGATGATTGTTAATTATGTCCTGATATGTAAAACCACGTGGGACGCGGGTGGCGCTGTGGGTTAAAGCCTCAGTGCCTAGGACTTGCCGATCGAAAGGTCGGCGGTTCGAATCCCCGCGGCAGGGTGCGCTCCCGTCGTTCGGTCCCAGCGCCTGCCAACCTAGCAGTTCGAAAGCACCTTCGGGTGCAAGTAGATAAATAGGGACCGCTTACTAGCGGGAAGGTAAACGGCGTTCCGTGTGCTGCGCTGGCTCGCCAGATGCAGCTTGTCACGCTGGCCACGTGACCCGGAAGTGTCTGCGGACTGCGCTGGCTCCCGGCCTCTAGAGTGAGATGAGCGCACAACCCTAGAGTCTGGCAAGACTGGCCCGTATGGGCAGGGGTACCTTTACCTTTACCTATGTAAAACCACAGAATTCAGAGAGGGTGTACTTTCTTTTTCCCCTGACTGCATATCTACACACACAAAGAAATAACAGTCAAAAAACAAAAACAAAACCCTCATATACCCGTATATATATACACAAACATACAAGAATTTAATCTCACAGATTTCATTGTCTTTAGGACACACTAGAATTCCTGTCTGCTTCATCTACCTCATGTTTCACCCAATCCCTTTCTTTTCTCTTAACTAGTGATATGAAACACTAATTAACACTCTTTCATCTGACCAGTTCTTGGTTGGAAAAAATCTTACTAATGTTGGATAGAGGACTGTTTATGGGGATCAAATGGATGTTGCCCCTCCAGTAAGCATCTTGCAGATAGAGAAATCCCACTAGTAAGTCATGAGTGAGAGTTTATTGGAGCCTTAAAAGTTCCTTACTACTTAGCTCCATATGTGTTCCCCACATCAAGGTTAGAGTCCTTAACTGTATCCAAATGTCCCAAGTATCAAATGTTTGATTAGAGATTGCCCTCTTGCTCCCTAAATTACATATGTTTAACTTAAATATTTCCATAAAACATTAAGCTCTTTTTGATTATTCTCTGTATGTTAAGAAAGCACAGACCTCACTTAACAACATTAAGCCTAAACATAGTAAATTGCTAAAAAGATTATTCCCAGTTGTGGTTTACAGGTTTAGCACTCTTTCTTTGTGTGAGCCATGAATCTTGCATCGGTGTGGGCAAGAACCCTAATCCTTATTTTTAAGCATGAAAGATGGTCCATTCTCTTGTTATAAATAATGCTTATTAGGAAA